CCCAAACTTTTTGCCCCAAATTTCCGACGATGATGAAAATGAATTCAAGTTTTTGTCTCTCCCGGTGTCGTTTCCCGAGGGATAAATCCTCAATCCGAGGGATTTGGGGCTAAAACCGGGGAAATTGGGGCTGGGGAGGGAGATTTTCCTCCTGACTCCGATGTGTGGCCGGGATTTTCCCAAAAATCTCCTTTTTCAACCCAAAACTCCCCCTGGAGCAGCTGGGGAGTGCCGGGATCCCCCTGGATTTTCCCATCCCGGATCCTCCTCTGGGTTTTGCCCAATTCTGGCGCTTCTCACCCCAAAGTAAAGAATTTTCCCAACATCCATAAAATCTGTTTTTCCTGGTTTTTTTTTCCTCTCATTTCCAGCTTTTTTATTTTTTAATTAATTTTATCTTTTTTGTTTTTCCCGTGGATTCTCCCAGCCTCAGTTTCCCTTGGAAAAACCCCGGTTTTGAGGAGCCGGAGCCGCGTCCTGGGGGGGGAATTTTGGGAATTCCGGCTCTTCCCGAGCCCCCACCGCTCAATCCCAGCCCGAAATTCAGGATTTCCTTCGGGAATTCCTGAGGGTTTGGGGACAGGGAGCTGATCCCGATGGGATTTTTCCAGTTTGATTTCCTGGGGTGAGGCCGAGGGAGCTCCGGGAATTCCCAGGAAGGGAAACGAGGCCGGGGAGGAGCTGGGATCCGATCCCAAATCCCAGGGATCCCAAATTCCGGGGAATCCCAAATCCTGGGGATCTCAAATCCCAGGGATCCCAAATTCCGGATCCCAAATCCTGATTCCAGGCATCCCAAATTCCAGGGAATCCCAAATCCCAATCCCAGGGATCCCAAATCCCGGGGATCCCAAATCCCAGGGATCCCAAATCCCGGGGATCCCAAATCCCGGGGATCCCAAATCCCGGGGATCCCAAATCCCGGATCCCAAATCCCGGGGATCCCAAATCCTGGGGATCCCAAATCCCGGATCCCAAATCCCGGGGATCCCAAATCCTGGGGATCCCAAATCCCGGATCCCAAA